TTTTTTTAAAAATTTTGTATGTAAATGAGACATTTCCCGTCCTCATTCCACTCCATCCCATTCAGCCATTTTGTAATTTGGGATAAAAAGTTTCTCTGGAGGTAGACAATCATATTTCTGCTATCAAAGCTTATTAAAGATGTCGACAACCATCCAGCATCCATACATGTTGAAGGCAGAGCCTGACTTAGAGCAACAGAATGAAGACCACGAAACTGCAGGAGGCAGCTAAAGCTAGCACACAGCACTGTGAGAAGGCTCAATGCTGCATAGCTGAAGTTGGAATATAAAATCACTGCAAAGGAAAAAAAAATGGCAGATTCACAAAACTGATTAGCTGGAAGTCAATGACCTTGTTTAGCAATTCCACAGCAAATGTGGTGACATCATGGAAACAAAACATAATAGATGGCAAGTGAATTTTGCATGACATGTCCTCTTTAAAAGCTCTACAAATCACCTCCTCAACCTTGAAAGCATGGATTGATCCAACACTTTCCAGTGTGTGTTTAAATAAATCCCTATGCTGTGTAAGTGTTGTCTTTATTTGGATAAGAGATTTCACCCTAAACTAGTCACACAGCTGGTCTTAATGGCCAAAGATGAAATGACTCGGGTCAATGGGTGGAGCTCTATTTGTCTTTCACTTTCTACAAAATCACAGTAAATGGGTCATAGGTGAGTTGTACTTTCATATTTTCAGCATGTATTTGAACACACAAGGACATCCATGCAGAGGCAGAGTGGTGAGTAGGCCTGTAAAACAGGTTGCTGTTAATTCGTTTGGGAAGCAGAGAATATTTTCAGTAAAGGTATTTGAGGTTAGTCTTATTCTGCCTCCTAACAAGAATCAACTTGAATCAGTTTCTTTAGGAAGGTTTTGTACCCATCAGCTAAGATTTATTTTGGTGTAGAGTAAAGGAGAAGAGTTTAATGGGTTCACATGTTGCAGGTAAAAAATATTTTTTCATTTAATGATTTTTTGTATAATCTTGTTTCATCTCCAAATTGATTTTTCTGTCAGGTGGGTCATCTGATCCAACAGGCAGCAGGCAGCAGTAACCTGAAGAAAGTCACATTAGAACTGGGAGGAAAGAGTCCAAATATCATTCTGTCTGATGCCAACTGTATGTATTCTTTTTACTCAGTGTTGTACTTAAGTTGTGTCTGCACAATGATCTTTTTAAACCATTCTGTGCTAAATTCAAACAAATTCACTGTTTTGTTTTGTTTTGTTTTTTTTGCCTAATATTTTTTCTGACGGCCTGTTATGATCACATTAAAGTTGCTGCCTATTCTGTTTGAATAATTTTTTAGTGGAAAATGCTGTGGAGCAGTCCCACATTGGCCTGTTTTTCAATCAAGGCCAGTGTTGCTGTGCTGGCTCTCGAGTTTTCGTCCAATCAGATGTCTACGATGAGTTTGTGGAGCGCAGTGTGGCACGTGCTGAAAGAAGAGTGGTGGGAGACCCGTTTGACTTCAAGACTGAGCAGGGCCCTCAGGTAACAAACTCTCACAATTCAATTTAGTTTATTTATATTGCCACATTTCACAACAAATGTCGTCTCTAGGCACTTTAGAAAGTCATTTCAGTTCAGTCACACATCAGCAGAGTAACACTAAGTAACTGAGCTTAATGTTACTCAGTTCATTAAGTTCAGTTTATATTTAAATTAGTTTAAACAGTTTGTGTCTAAGGAAACACAGCAGATTGCATCAAGTCATTGACTTGCAGAATATCAATGCTGCTAAATTTGATTTGGTTTAATGGTTTCAGTGTAAGTAAGTTGAAAGATTTTGAATTGTTTAAAATTTAAATTTAAGATTTTAAGGAACTGGCAAATTTATTTTGTAAAAGTTCAAAGAACAATCTTCATATTTAGATTTTTTTTTGTTACCATAGCTAAAATCTGATTGGGCTCTGTTCACAAATATATTTCAGTAAACCACAATTATCACTGATTGCTTTTTAGGTTGGCCAATTAAACCACTTCCTCTCTCCTAAATTTCACTAAATTCATGTTGAAATGCTGTTAGAGGTGCTGATGCTCATAGCAGCAAGAAGGACCCCCTACACCTAATATCAAATGCTTCAAATCGTGCCGTGGTGGTCTCTCAACGGACCCTCAATACACCTTCACAAGACTTTGAAATAGGTTGCCACCCGTCCCTTAAAATACAGAATCATTCCGTATTTGGCTGTTAAATGTAGCGTCCCATATTGAACCGATACGGGACGAGATCTGTTCTGTATTTCCATAAATGTCAGATAGACACGCCTATTACACACATATCAACACTACTAATAACAATAATGACCAAAATAAAACACAGGAAATATTAAGGTCAGCTAAAGGTTACATGGCGGGATTATGGGCGGGATGTAAAAGGGACCTCAAAGAAAGCTACGGCCCAATGCTGTTGTAGTTGCCTAAACACGGACACTACGCAGCCACGGTGAGCTGCGATTAACCCGCGTCTTTTTAAAATGTCCTCAGCCCGATACACCACTGTCCTTAGAAGCAAAACCTCTCATTAGAGGGAAGACGCAAATCCCAGGGTGAATAATGTCAGTGAAGATGAATACAGGTATTTAAAAAACAAAAAAAAATATGTGCAGTGTGCTGCTGCTGTATGACAGACAGAATGGATCAGGAGAGGAGAACTGCAGACCCATCAGAACTTAAAGAACCAGAAATCAGCATCTCTTCGTCCCTCAATCATCTCGAGCATGCGGCTCGGGTGGTTGCTGAGGCAAGAACTCGGGCGTGGGAGGAGTTTGGAGAGGCCATGGAGAAAGACTTGCGCACGACTTCGAGGCGATCCTGGTCCACCATTCGGCATCTCAGGAGGGGAAGCAGTTCAGTACCAACTCTGTTTATAGTGGGGATGATGTGCTGCTGACCTCAACTCGGGATGTTGTAGGCCGGTGGGCGGAACACTTTGAAGACCTCCTCAATCCCACCAACATGCCTTCCACTGAGGAAGCTGAGCCTGGGGACTCTGGGTCGGGCTCTCTAATCTCTGGGGACAAGGTTGCCGAGGTGGTTAAAAAGTTCCTCGGTGGCAGAGCCCCGGGGGTGGATGAGATCCGCCTGGAGTTCCATAAGGGTAGGGTTGTGTTGGCTGACGTGACTCTGCAACATTGCATGGACATCGGAGGTAGTTCCCCTGGATTGGCAGACTGGGGTGGTGGTCTCCCTGTTCAAAAAGGGGGACCGGAGAGTGTGCTCCAATTACAGGGTTGTCGCACTCTTAAGCCTCCCTGGTAAGGTCTATTCAGGGCCCTGGAGAGGAGGGTCCATCAGATAGTCAAACCTCGGTATCTGGAAGAGCAATGTGGTTTTCATCCTGGTCGTGGAACACTGGACCAGCTCTACACCCTCAGCCGGGTCCTGGAGGGTGTGTGGGAGTTTGCCCAACCAGTCTACATGTGTTTTGTGGACTTGGAAACTTCCAAGGCCCCACTCTCCCTCAGTCCCAGACCGTGTCACTGGGGTAATCCCGTGGGGGGTTCTCCAGTAGTATGGGGTACCAGACCCTGTCCTGCCCCAAGTGGGATCTTGTTCACGAATGAGGGGAGAAGGGAGCGGGAGATTGACAGGTGGATTGGCGCAGCATCTGCCGTGAAGCAGGTGCTGTACCGGTCCGTCATGGTGAAGAGAGAGCTGAGTCAAAAAGTAAAGCTCTCCATTTACCAGTCGATCTATGTTCCTACCCTCATCTATGGTCATGAGCTTTGGGTCATGACCGAAAGAATGAGGCCCCGGATACAAGCGGCCGAAATGGGTTTTCTCTGTAGGGTGGCTGGGCTCTCACTTTCATCCAGGAGGGACTCAGAGTAGAGCCGCTGCTCCTTCACGTCGAGAGGAGCTAGGGCATCTGATATGCGATATATTCACAAGTGTAAGCTTGTGAGATGGCCTCACACAAGCAGTGAGAAAGACGCTGGGCAGACAGAGGACACCCCACTGAGTTATCTCTGTAATGCACAAACAGATGCTGAGAGCGATGCAGTGCAGACGTGTGCACCACATTATAGAGTGCGCGCACAGGGCAGAGAAGATGAGAAGCAGCTTCTGTCTCAGATTTATGAGGAGGGGGATAAGAACCCTCCAAAGATATCTCCCTTGATCTGAACGAGCTTGTGATGCTTTGAGGAGTAAAGCAGGGTTGGGACCCAGCACAGCTGAGCTGCCATCGGCTCATATTCCGAGACAAGAAGGAGCAACAGAGAGAGCGGAAAAATCGCTCACTCTCTTTGCAGATATAAGGACCAACAGCAGAGCAGTTAGACTCCTCTTAAGACAGGAACTTCAGAGGAGCCTGGGCTAAAGGCTCAAATAGAGCTTCAACCAGAGCGTGCAGGACCAGTGTTGAATCCCACAGAGGAGCAAGTGGGCGTGACACTGGTTTGCTTATGCGCACACCTCTCAGAAACCGCTTCATCAGTGGGTGGTTGAAGACCGTTCTGTCACCAAAAACCCTCATGGCAGAAGGAAATAGCTGCAGCATGTTTTAATGGTGCTGAAAGCTAAATTTGTCCATAAGCTGCTGGAGAAATGACAGCACGCCGCCTACAAGACAGGAAATGGGCTCCACCCTCTCTCCCGCGCACCAGCATTGAAAGATTGACCATTTCGAAGCATATAACGCTGTGGTAGAAGCGGCTCGTGCGGCCTGAATGGTGCGCACCACACCCTGAGGGAGACCGAGCCTCACTAGGTGCTCCTGTTCAGCTGCCAGACACTGGCCTATTTCTGGGTGGCTCCTGATCGCTCCCCCGGCCTGGAGGAGCGCATCCTCTCTCCATGGCAGCTTCCAAGGTCGACCTGACACCAGCTGCTGCAGACTGGGAAACCTCGTTGCGTTCTTGTGCTCGGGTGCCAGGATTAA